AATGTCTGTCCTTGAAAGTGAGATGAGTTTCTTGAAGACAACAAAAAGATGGGTTTTGTTTCTTAATCCGTTCACATAGTCTGTGTCTTTTGACTGGGAGTTCAGTCTGTTTATATTTAAAGTTATTAATGAAAGATGAGTATTGAATCCTGTCATTTTTATTTCTGTTTATATTCTTGATATAGTTGTATATTTCCACAGCTATACCTTCATTGAATTTCTTTCCCCAACCTCTTGGGTATAGTCATTTCTTTCTTAAGCTCTTTGTATTGTTTCCAGAACTCTCTGAAGGGCTAGTTTTGTGGACATGAATTCCTTCAGCCCACTTATGTCATGGAAGAGTTTTGTTTCCCCTCCGACTATAATAGACATCTTGGCTGGATATAGTAATCTGGGTTGGCATCTGTGGTCATTTAAAACTGGGAATACTTTGGTTCAGGCTCTTCTGGCTTTCATAATTTGCACTGAAAAGTCAGCTGTAATCCTAATGGGTTTTCATTTATATGTGACTTGTTTCTCTTTTGCAGCTTTCAGAATTTTCTCTTTGTTTTATGCGTGTAGTGTTTTTACTACGATGTGCCGTGGAGAGTTTCTGTTCTGGTCCTGTCTGTTTGGTGTTCTGTATGCTTCTTGTCTTTGTGGTCTCCCACCCATCCTGCATATTCCATTCTGGTGTTTTCTTTAATTTTTCATAATCTTTGCTTGAGTATTCTAATTTGTATACTTTATCTTTCATTCTTGATACCCTGTTTTCCATTTCATTCATCCTATTGGTGAGCCTTTCTCCTGTCGTTTCTAATTGGCTTACTGAGTGTTTCACTTCCTTTTTCATTTCGGCCTGAGTATTCTTCAATATTTCTAATTCTTATGAATGCATTCAGAAGTTTATTCCTATCTTCTTTCAGTTCTTTCATTTCTTTGTGTGTCTGTAAGTTCACAGAATTCTTTAAACATGTGTATAATTCTTCTTTTGAATTCCATGATAGGCTTACTAAGGTTTCACTTCCTTCTTCATTTCAGCCTGAGTATTCTTCAATATTTCTAACTCTTTTCTGAATTAATTCAGTTTATCTCTATCTTCCTTCAGTTCTTTGATTTTTTTGTTTCTGTGTTCTTTAAATTCACTGAATTCTTTTATCATGTTGATAATTGTTTGTGTTCCATGCCCTGTATTATCTCTAGGGGGTTCTCATTGTACTCCTCTAGAGGACTATTGGTATTTGGTAGGGCTATGTTATTTTGGTTTTTCATCTTATTATTTTTTCTCTGTGATTTTGACCTGTGAATTTCTTTTGTAGTTTCTTATTCTTGTGTGAGACTCAAGCCTTCAAGTTTTGGTCTGCTTCTTTTTGTGAACTTTATGTGTCTTTGTGGTTTACTTTATGTGCATGAAAAGCTGGTTCTTCTAAGCTTCGGATTCTCTCTTGATGTTATATTGGAGTGGCCAGATTGCTTTTGTCTTCAGGAGTTCCCATAGAGGCCCAAGTCAGATGAGGATCAGATGCTCTCAGACTTTCTCCTAAGGTTAGATTTCCTCCAGGAAAGATTTTGGACTCAGGAGTTTGGGGGTTGGACTGGCCTGGGAGTTGTTCCCAGGAAACGTGCTGGTCTAGGGCAGCTGGTGGCCATTCCACCCAGAGATTGAAAGGGAGATGGGGGTGGGAAGAGGCCCCAAGTTCTCCTGGGGACTGCACTGAAGAACTTGGTTGGTTTGGATGCAAAGGATCAGGAAGAGGAAAGGTCATCCACCCCCTACCCCCCACCCCCCCGCATCCAGGAAAGAGGCTGGCAGGTTGTGCAGCCCAGGGAAGCAGAGGGAGGTGAGGGCGGGGCCAGGCCTAGAGTGCTCCTGAGGACCCAAGGAACTGCGTTGGTCTGGATGCAAAGGATGAGGAAGCAGTGGTGGTTCCCCAGATGTCTGAGGCTCCAAGAAAGGAATGGGACAGCACCCAGGCTAGGAGGTGAGACTGGTGGGGGAGATGGGAGGGTGAGTGAGGCTGGGGGCGTCAAGGCTCAGAGGGCGCAATGGACTTACCCTCGAGAGAGGCCTCTGGGTCCTTCAGGCCCAGGGAAGCAGAGGGAGTTGAGGGCGGGGCCAGAATGCTCCTGGGGACCAGAGAAGGAACTGAGTTGCTGTGGATGCAAAGGATCAGGAAGTAGTGCTGGTTCTCTAGGTGTCTGGGGTGCCAAGAGAAGGAATGGGATAGGACCCAAGCTAGGAGGAGAGACAGGTGGGGGAGATGGGAGTCTGAATGAGGCCTGGGGAGTCAAGGCGGGGAGGGCGTGATCGACGTATCCCAGAGAGAAGACTGTGTGGGTCAGAGAGAACATGTTTGGTTTTTTTTATTGGGAGTGAGTTCTTCACTTAAATTAAGGATGCATAATCAGTGTGGGTAACTTTTAGGAAAGCCACTGGCTCTGCTTCTAAATGGAAAAAGAGATCATAATTAAGACTAGTCATAAAGGGCTGTCTGAGCAATAAAGTTAAGTGACTGGTCTTGCCTATTCTTTGAAACTGAGTAACATCTACATTTGCAGTGCTTATTAAAATTATAGTATTTAACCTAATTATACAAGGTAGGTTAAAGTATAATTTTCTATTGTTTGATTATTTCATGCTCTAGTATAAAGGAGAAGGGATTGATAGTAAGACAACTAATTTATTTATGTCCATTTTTTCCTTCTGCTTGATTGTTGGTGAAATGTAAAATTTAGTAACTGAACATAAAGGGTAATGACTGAAAGGCCCCAGGCTTCCTTTATATATGGTGAAAGCTGGCTGTGCTTGGTAATTATCATATGTTAATTGGTTTTCCAAATAAAACTGATAAGTTTTATTTACTCATTAACATAAAGTTAAAGTGATTTTTGAAGGAAATTAAAATATAGCTTTTTTTTTGAGAGACATTCTTGCTATAGTCCAGGATTATAATTTGTAATTCCCCTGCCTCAGCCTCCTTAATGCTGGAATACAAGAGTGCACCACCACATCTGACTAGTAGCAATGTTTAATCCAAAAATCTTTTTAACACTTTTCACTTACTCTTGCTTTCTCAACAAAGTTGGATGACCTTACATAGTAGGGTCGCACTCTTCTTTCATGTCATCCTTACAAAAGACTGGCCACTTATAGTTGTTCTATAAATGCTGAATTTCTAAAAGAATAAATGAATATGAATAATAAGCATGGCTGGTTACACTGAATAAGGAACAAAATTATCTCCAAAACTGATGGTGACAAATGACCTGTGCTTAAGAATCAAATGTCATAAGTTTAAAAATCAAAGCTGTACTACATACCAAATTCTATTTTAATAATGTATGCATGTGTATGTATGTTGAGAGGTCTGAGGACAACTTGTGGGGGTCAGTTCTCTCCTTCCACCATTTAGGTCCCAGGAATTGAACTCCGGTAGTCAGGCTTGGTAGCAAGTGCCTTTACCTGCTAAGGCGTTTAACCATCCCCTCTACCTTTAGATTTTAAGGCAGGCTCTCGTACTGAACCTCAAGCTCAACCCTTTGCCTAGGCTAGTTGGCCACAGAGTTGGGGATCTGCCTGTCTCATGCCACCCTGCTCCCCAGTGCAGGGGTTACAGGCTTGCTTTACCACAACCTGATTTTTATGCATGGGTATTGGGGATCCAAACTCAGGTTCTTGTGCTTGTGTGGCAGAAATACTTCATTGACTGAGCCATCCCCCCAGCACCACATACGATGTTTTGATCTATGTATGCACTGCATACTTTTAAAATCATGTCATATCTCCTTTTTCACTTACAATTCTTTCTTTCCTGGCGTGAAATTCCAAATTCTTTCTTCTGGCTTTTGAAATGTTACCTACTGTTCTCATACCGTGCATTCGCATACCAGGACTTGCAGCACCTACGTGATTTTTTTCATGATTTTCTCCCCAGGTGAAGCATACATGCGGCTAAGTAAACTTCCTGAAGCAGAGCATTGGTACATGGAATCCTTGAGATCCAAGACCGACCACATCCCTGCTCATCTCACCTATGGGAAACTGCTTGCTCTAACAGTGAGTACTTGCCTTTCTCATGTTTCAGAAATTGATTTTCTCCATGTGTACTGGAATAACTGGGATTTGAGATATTGATTCTGAACCTGTGAATTCAGGTAAGGACTTAACAATAGTGATACTGTTAGGCACCTGTATAGATAATATAGAAAGAAAAGAGCTTTTGAAATTTGACCTACATAAGATTGTGACATGTTGTGATCCTTAGTGTAACACTGAGAAAGAAAGGAAGACCTCAACTATGTGTCTGTCCGAATGAATGAATGATTTTGTCTGAAGAAAAACATTTGTATAAATAACATAGTTTATAAAAACTGTTAATGCCAAATTGGCTGTAATTAGAACTTAGGCTAATTCTTGTTTTCAATTTTTATTTATTATTTTTATTTTATGTGTATGCGTGTGTTGCCTGCATGTTGTAGGTAAGTGCACCCATGTCATGCAATGCCTGCAGAGGTCAGACGAGGCTGTCGGATCCCCTGGGACTGAAGTAACCGACAGTTGTTAGTTGTTATGTGGGTGCTGGGATCCCACTCAGATCTTCTGCAAGAAAAAACAGTGTTCTTAACCACTGAGCCATCTCTCCAGCCCGAAGGGGTAATTCTTACAAATAACTACCGTCATATAAAATTTTATACATCTTAGAATTCCTTCTAATTGGAGTCAGTCTATAATAGAAGTGGAGCCATTGCTTGGCCACCCACTGTATAACAGGCACTCTTGTAATGTGAAAATCATGTTAATGTGAGTCATAAGAAATTACTGATATTACGCTTTTGTGTTCTACAAAAAAATGGCAATATAATGTATTTAAAGGTAATTCTAATCCCTTATTTTTTATATGATAGGGAATGACTAAACAAATTAATATTTCTGAGCTCACACAGCCAAGTGGTTGAAGCAGGCTCCATTCCTAATCTCTGTGTTGTTACAGTTACTCCACATAATCTTGCTTTAATATTAGAAAAAGTGAATGAGGATTACAAAAACAGAAAAAAAAATAGTTTGGAGGACAATTCCTAAGTGAATTCATAAATCAACCTAGAGAATTATTTTTTAATATCATTTTACTTTCCTTAGAAGTTAATGAATTAAGTGCTTGCCATGTATCCTTTTAAGGATATCATTACATGCTCCAGAGGAACTCATGTAGAGCATAGGGATATAGGTCACTGGTAGAATGCTTTCCAAGCATACCCAAAGCCCCAGGGTTCAATCCCCAGCACTGGAAGTAAAGGGAAGAAAAATCATATAGATAGGTAAGATATCCAGAAAACATCCCACTAAAAATATAGAGCTGTGCCTTTGCAAATGTTAATAGTAAGAGAGAGTACCAGGAACTAGAAATGAAGAGGCAGAGTCGCCTGGAATGGTGTAAGCATGTAATCGCAGAACTTGGGAGACTGAAGCAGAACACTGATGTGCATTTGAGGCCAGCCTGGTCCACAGAGTGATGCAGTGAGATACTGCATCACCCACACACCCTCTAAAGAGATGGATGGAGAGCTGACTCCAGAATGTGCAGAGCAGGCCGATCCAGCAGCTTGTTTGGGATCATTTGCCAATTTGGACATCAGTGGCAAGAGGCTGTTTGATTTTTCTGCTGTAGGAGAAGAAAGAATGGCCTAGTCGATGGCTAGGCATTAGATACTTCAATAAATTTGCATAATTTATTTCCTCAGTATAAGGATAATATAAAATAAGTCTGCTTTCTGGTATAAGAAAACTCTATGAATGTTCATCTGTCTTAGAATGGAATCGGGAGAGATAATATACTCTTGATACGATCCTCCTTTTAAAAATATTTTATTTATTATTACTTTTATTTTATGTGTATGAGTATATTGCCTGCATATATGTCAGTGTGCCTGTGTTGTGCCAAGGCTGAGGATATCAAGTATGTTGGATTCCCAGGAGCTGGAGTTACAGATGGTTGTTAGCACCCATGTAGCAAAAGAACCCTGGTCCTCTGTAAGAGCAGCCAGAGCTCTTAACTGCTGAGCCATCTTTCTAGTCCCCCATCCTCCCTTTGAAACTTTGGATTTTTAGTTGAGTCTACCATAGATCATGGAATTCCTGGGCCAGGAAACAAAGTAAAAAGGAATCTACTGAAAATCCTTCCTGAAAATATTCTTTGATAAACACAAATCTAGAAGAAAGAACCATAAAGTAAAAAGAGAATGATGCACAAAAAACATGATTTTGTGGGTAAATCAGATAAGCTTTTATAAACAAATACAGTGGGTTCAAATGTTAGTGAGCCAGAATGAGCATTTTCAAGAAATAAAAGGGTGAAGAAAGATTTATTACCTTGCAGCATGTGCTGGGAGCACAGGGGTTATTTCCAAAGCAACGTCATTTTCACACAAAGCAAGGGGATTTTATTGAGAATTCTATACATATTCATATAAGAAAATAAAGCATTTTATGGGGAAACATGTTCCTGAGCATGCTCATTTTAAAGCTATAGTTCAAGAAGGAATTATCAGACATATATTGGGGTGTGTTTTGCTCAGATTCACGGAGCTGATGTTTAAAAGATTAAGATGATGTACAGAAAGACTTGGGCATGTTTAGCCTGCATCATACAAATGGTGGACAAGAATGGTTCTGGACATGCTGAGCTTTAGTTATAAATTCTTAGCTGACCAAGATGAAATGACACTTTGGTTTGCATTAATATAGGAGAGCATTGGAAAACTCAGGATGGGAGGGGAGACTTTGATGAAGAAGATATTTAATTTATTGGGGAGGAGGAATCATATCAAAGCATAATTGATTTGTCATAGAATGAAGATCACAGTCTAAAGGAACTTTCGTATAGATAACAATGAAAAATCAATTTATTCAAAAGAACCCCAGGGAAAAACATGTCCCAGGGCAGCTGGCATAGAACAGGTGAGTAAAAGGATGTGAGATGGGGTAATAAGTTTTATCTTATGACTATAGGTGTCAGATCTTTCCAATGTGTGCACAAATGCTAGGTGGGAGCAGAGGTTCATTATGAATAAAAGAGGTCCAGGGTGCAGAACAGCTGAGGCAGCTGAAGATGAGGTTTGCCTTGATGTCATTTGAGTGTGTCTCCCAAAAATGCATATGCCTGAGGTTTGCCCCTCTGTGTAGAGATGATGATAAGCAGTGACCTGTGAGAGGTGAGGGGAGTGATCTGTGATTCTCTCATAGTGACATCACCTTCAAAAGGAGTTTATGCTGACCTCATAGTAAGTGAATTCTTATGAGGGGAATTTTAAAAGAGAAGGATCGGTACCTAATTCTCTCTGGCTACCTATCTTATGCTGTCTCTTCCTCTTGGTCATGTTCCCACCACCATGAAGTCATCTGCAATGCTGTGATATAGGCAGAAGTCCTAAACCAGAGTGGAGCAGGTCCTAGTGCCATGCAGTTAAGCACACCAGAACTGAGATAAATGAGGTGTATTCCACTTCACGTATTTTGTTGTAGCAGTGGGCAGCGGACTAAAATAAGTTGGGAAAATATTGTTGCTTTGAAGTGTTCTTTTGAAGTATTCAGATTTTAATATGTCTCACCCACTCTGTGAAGACTATCAGCAGTGCAGGGTTTATTTATTTCATTTTCCTATAGCCTACCATTTTCCCTCATACCTTTTTTTTTTAAAGAATTCATTGGATTTTTAGCCATAGAAACAAATTCCCATGGAGAAAAGTTTTCAATATGTCTGAATCTGGAGGTCCTCTATAAATGACTAGCTCTGAAATTGGTCACACAAGAGTCAATCTATTCCATGTTGAAAGATTTTATTAACTCACTCTTAGCCATCAGTGAGCAATATAGGATTGTTGGTCATATGATGAGAAACAAATTAGTATGAGGATAAACCTGAAGAAATATGTAAAAGAATTATAATCCTTAGTAGAGTTGGTAATATACAGCATTTAAAAGCACGAAGCCGTGAAAATGCTGAAAAACAAGAATTTTTATAAACAAAAATAAGATAGAGCAGTTTTCACTTAAAGGATAAGAGAAGTTTTCTTGTGCGTAAATACAAAAATAGGCTAATGAAAAATGTGAATGAAGATATCTATGTGGCTCTAACAATGATAAAAGAAAGGCAGAAAACACACCTCAGAACTGAGGGTAGGATGCAGGTTGCTGTATTTGTCATTTGCAGCCTCAGAGTATACCCAGTTTATCACTTAGGACAAAAAAACTTCTGCCTTATGGAAACCGATTCCAGTTCCTATCTTGGTAAGATGAGAATTCAGACAACTTCATGTAGGAATAGAATTCATATACACCTCTTGCTTCAACTGTTCTCTGAGAATGTTTTATGGAACACATGGGAATATTTTACCTTAAGATTTCAAACCATAACTATGAATATTATAGCTGCCTGAATCTGACCTTTCCTAGAAAGCTGAGAAACAGAAATTGATGCATGCATATATGTAATGCCGAATGTGCCCAGACCATGATACTGGATAGAAAGACCAATTGTCCTATTCTTTTTGATTTTCAAGGCTATTTTAAATTTCTTGTACAAAAAATATGATTATAAAAGCTGCATTGAAAGTTTTGCTTCTACAAAGCATATGGAAAAGAAAGGAAAGACTTGGATATTATCATCCAAAGTTTTAATTTTCCCTCCACTAAGACCTTTACAGTTTCTGACTTGCTGATTAGATGAAATGCAAACTGCTGTGGAATGGCTTAGTCACAGTGCCAGATCCCACAGCCATCTTTAATAGTTTCTTCTAAATTATAAGTTTTGGCAAATTTCTGATCCCAGTTATTAACTTTGTCTAATTATGGGTTTCTTGGTATGGTAATATGCCACTGACTTGACAGGGTAGAAAATGGCACACATTTTGACTTTTAATATTTTATGTGTTTTATAAAATAGAACTGATTATGAGTCTCAGGAAAAGTTGAAATGAAGTGATGTGTTTACCCTGTGTCAAAACCCAAAGGTCAATTGTGTCACAATGACAGGCAGCTATATCAGGTTTAGGCTGTAAAGT